GATTACTTGAAAGCAGTAGATCTCATTAAGAGTTTTCTAGCAAAGTTGCAAACTTACAGATGTGATGAGAAAGCTGCACATTATTTTCAATGTTCTTGTGACATCACTATCTGAAATGTTGCTGTCAGCATCAGTTACAGAGCTCCATGCCTTGAAACATGGACAACTTTGTAGTTCTAGTCACACCGGAAAAGTGGGATGCTACATGAGATTCATCTGATATAAAATGACCCATCTTGTTTCCAACCATTGATAGTTTTCTTGGAGAACTAAACAAATGATTAAGTGGGAAAAATCTCCATATGTTCCACTCTATGTCAGCAATTGACCCCAAATCTGAAAAATTCCTTGATTTTGAGGCTATTAAATTTCTTGTAGCCCATTATAGGCTGAATCTTGAAGATATGTAAATGGAAAAGATGCAGGTTAAGAGAGTGAATGAGCATTCAGGAGTGACAATTGGACCAGTGGAAAAGTTTGCAGAACATCTCAAACCCCTGTTTATGGCTTTTACTGAACCTTAAAAAGGTTATAAAGATAGCTATAACTCTCCCAGTTAGCACAGCTGCCTGTGAAAGGAGCTTCAGCAAGCTAAAACTGGTCAAAAATAACCTTAGAACCAATACAAAAAATAAGTCTAAGTGCAGAGAATGTGCTCTGTCCAATGATCTTGATGATGTTGTTGACAAGTTCATTACTAAGTTTCCATAGTCAAAGAGGAGGATCACTCCAGCTGGTGTATTGGTTAGTGCTTTTGACTATTATTCATCAATCCATTTTTAAAAAGACTTGTTATTCACCCCCCTCTAAAAAAAAAGAAATTTGATAGATATGCTAGAATGGTCAAAAACCTTCTGAACATTTCCAATATTAGCGAGTACTTTGGAGCTTCAAAACTCAATGCACAGTACTTTTTAAACCCAACGTTGCCTCAATGTACTTTGGTATGCTAAAATTTGGTGGAATAACAAGTCCCTTTGGAATTACATGTGAGTATAAGTTGTTTTGCTCCTCAAAATTTAGTGTGATAGGTAAACCAAGTTCCCTCAATTTTAAAAGCCAACCGAACCCAAGTTATTCAATCCAATAATTGGCAGGGACAAGCAGGATCCCCTTATGCATTATCCATGATAGTCCATGAGTGTTGGTCCAGCATAGTACAGTAATACTACCCAGTACAGCCTCTAGGTGGACTTATGGAACACCTCATTTTTACAGAGCCTGTTGCAACCTAGATAAAGTATATTGAATTAGTGGTTGCTAGTGCAGAATTGATTTGATAAAAGCACACCTGACTGGCAACACTCACTACAAAGTGGGATCCTGTAAAAACGAGGTAATAGACCCTGAAAAGTAAAGAAAAGACAAGAATAGCAATGAAAATACCATCCCCTCTGTATAATCTAACAGAAGTGGTTAAGATAGCTACAGGGGTAGTCAAAAACCCTCAGATGAAGATACTGCCAGATCATGCAAATAATATGAGGTAAAAGTGTTGGGGGAAGTCCACTTAACAGTCTGCACAATATCCTCCAGCAGGCAATTCAACCGGGCCACTATGGACATAGAAATGTGATGAATCTGATGACTCGTAGAAGATACCTCACCAACAAAGAGTGCCCAGAATAAGCAATATGGATCAATTTCATACTCACCTCATCAATGTAACTGGGGTAAATCCTGGGAAACTGAATGATCCCAATGAATAAAACGTCATTGTCTAGCATCTCTAAAGGCATTAGTGTATGCAACAAAACCTTCAGAACATAACAAATAGTGATCAGATGAATCAGTGAAACAAATTTATCTCATTCCCTGTCTGACAGTGTCTTAGGGAAGAAGAACCAATCTGAGGACACAGGTAGAATGATAGAGCATCCTGTGCACAATCAGCGCAAATCACTCAAACCATCAATATCTGTAGTTCAGCAGCAACAAAACATAACCTTCAGGTAGGTGATACATAGCACATGTCTAAAGTTACTATGAGTGTTGAGAAAGGGCATGTAATGTGACCTTAATATATCAGTTAGGTAACTGGAATGGTCATTTGGGACAAAGTACCCAAAGTGACTTGAGGAAGCTGGATAGTACTGGGGACTCAAAGAATTTTGTTTTTTCTTTTCTCAAGTGTGGAATGGTAGTCGATAAGGCCACCAAATACAGGGCAATTGTGCAAAATGCAAAACCCAAGCCAAAGAGCCAGGTCAAAAAACGACGGATCGAAGGGGGGTTCAACCTCCTCTCAATACATCATTGCTATAATGTGTGCCATTTCCATTAATAAATGTCCATCGTGGTACTAAGGAAAGACTGAGGTAGATACATGGCGACCACAGAAATTAAACACCAATGTCATGTAAAGAACTGCATAAACCCCAATGTCATGTGAAGAACTGCATAACCTCCATGCCTGAAGCTTGAGCTTCTGGATACCCAGGTGTACCATTTCAGATCGTGACTGCCTCCACAAAGATGACCAAAGAGGAAGTGGAAGAGGTGGGCACCCCTGAAGGTAGCATAGAAGCAGAAACTATGGAGTAGTTGCTAATCTGGTGCTATCAACAGGACACAACAATGGGCTGGAACAAATCATATTTAATACCTTGGGTAACCAGTCGGTCATGAAATTGAGTGTACACAGTGCTAGGGAATGGAGGTGACAAGAAAATGCTCATACGAATCGGCAGAACCCATGTGGTGCCAATGCTAGTCTGAAGGTAAAAACCCTGAACTGCAGTACCTGACCCACGTGCGAGATGCCACCATTATGGCAATGTGCAGGTAGGAGCCAACTATATCAAACTTGGGCATCCACAATCCTATTAAAAATGCCAACTCAGAGAGAGGAATGAATCACTTGTGAGCCTTGGAGAACCTAGTAACTGATATAGACAAGAAAAATTGATGAATGGACATCAATCTCCTGTCTTCTTCGGCCCAACAAATCGACAGGAATGAATAACTGGCACAATTCTCTCTCTACCCCCTGACCAACAAAACTCTGACAGCCTTCGAACTAATGTTCCAAAATCTGAAGATCTGCAAGAGATGGAAACCCTACAGGTTGGGTGGATAATGGTGGTGAAGATGAGAACTGGATGACTAATCCTGACTCAAGGACCTGTAGTTCCCATGGATCCGTGATTAAGGTTTACCACATATCCAGAAATTCTCAGAGCTGTGTCCAACAGACCCTGCAGACATGCAATAATCACCAATGTTACTGGCAGCATTCCAACTGAGTAGTAAATCCCTTGTATATTGACAGAATCTATTCTGGGTACCAACGGACTGAGGGGTCGAGACAATCGAATAGGGATGGAACTATGAACCACTGTAAGAGCCAATAAAAGCCAAGATGCCCACTACAACAGGGATGAATGTATAAGCCAACAATCGAACCAATGTGGATGCTAACAATGGTTCCAACTCGTTATCAATGGACTTGGTGATCCTGAGAGTCTTCCAACAAAGTTTTATTTTAGGAAAACAACACGTTGGACTTTAGAGTAGTAAGTCCTTAAAGTTACCACCAAGGGGCACTGATCTATTCTGGTTAACTATAAAGTTCACTTTAGGAATTCGCTCTAATTTCTTGGCGCATATATATTGTTTGAGAGTCGGAATATGCTTCCACCTAATGGTAGTAGGCTAAATCACATAGTTCTGACAACAGTGGCTGATAAGGCATACCTGTCTCTTCACTTAACTGAGCAGTAAACCTCCCTGCATGAACCACAATGTCAGTGGATGGAAGGAAAACCGAGTATTTGCTCCCATACCTTTCAGCCATCAAGGTGCAGGCTCAAAATCAACTGTGGAAAGAACAAAATATCATAGACTTGATGGAACAACTGACGAAAAAGAGCCTGATGCAACTTATCCCAAAGTGGCCTCCTGAGAAGTCAACAGAATAAAAGAAGGCGCAGGAAAAAGCAAATCTAGATTCGCTCCAGAATGTCCAGGATCGCCCTCAATTACAGCCCCAGAGCTCCCCAAAGGAGCACCACCAAACCAAATATATGTATCTAATAAGATCACTGACAATCTCAATCGAGAGTGATTCCTTACCATCACCCCCCATTGTTGTGCAACGATAGATATCAGAGGTGGGATAGAAGAGACCCGATTTCCCTCCATGCTGGAAGTAATAATTAATCCGGGAATTAATGCTATATATCAGCTTGTCAAATGAGAAATTTTTCTTGTTTATTATGAAAATCAACTAGGTAACACAAAGAATGCTCAAAGTATCTTCTAACAGAGAAACCCGTTAGTGAATGCTTTGTCGAGAAAAAGTGACAACACTACTATCTGAATGAGGTACTTATACACAGTACCTGGATAGAGGGTGAACTGACATTAGTGGAGAGTGTCACAAAACAAATATCATCAAGGGCAATTAAATGGGGTATAAAAGACTGGAGCATGAATGAATAAATCAGACCAATGCTTAGATGGGCAAAGGAAGAAATCCTAGCAGATGAGTAGTACCTGTAGTATTAGAGGATGTAAGTATGCTTTGGAAATTTAAAATAAAAGAATTAATTTGCACAACTATATCTCTGGATACAATTTAATATTTAAAGACTAATTTTTATGTGTTAATTTAAATCTTTAGCATGAAAATTTTATAGAGATACCCATAAATTTAATTATTTTGGAAAACTTTCCCTAGGGTGTAGATGACCTAAAACTTTTACACTGTACATTAATAACCATAAATGTTATTTTAACTAAATTATAGACACTACTTCATCCTTTGCTCTGACCTCTATCTAAATGTACACAAAATTAGAACCACTGATGCACAGTAAACTGTTATTTTTTCCATAAGTGATAAAATAATCTATGATATGAAAAAATTGAAGTACTAATTTCAAAACAACAGAAAGTTTGTATGCCATATCATGCTAACTTTTTCAGCTTTAAAATAATAATTCAGTCAATTTTTTAGTTTAACTTTTACATCAAGTGAAAGTTTGCTAAAGCCCTACCTGTTTTTATCATTTAGTTCATTCTGCCAATCTAATTCTCCTGTTTTGGTCACACTGTCATACCATATGACAAGTGAATTTGGGTCATGGTGATGCATTTCTTTTGTCAAACAGTGCAGGAATGTAACAAGGTTTGAGACATTTTCTTCCTTAAAACAACAGTTATAATATATGAATATTGCATAAAACATTTAACAGAAAATTATTAACATATCAATTTGTATAAAACTTTTATTACAATGACCAAGAAGAGCATATAGATGTAACAAAGTTCATACCACTCTTAGCCATACCAGATGAAATAAAGGATACATATAAATGAATTGGTTTACACTTTTGTTGTAATTAAAACTAATATATTTTAATGCTTCTTCTGTGATATAAATGAGTTGTTTTTACATTAAATAATAACTATATCATACTGTTAATGTATAAAATTATAAGCACTTCTGCATACTTGGTTTTTGTGTGATGTTATAAGTCTAAATAACAATGTGTGACCATTCTCAATAAAAGCAGCTTTCAAATATCTACACTACTATGCCAATTACATAAATTGGGGAAAATTATGCTCATATTTTATATTTTGTCACTTAAGTCATTAACCTTTCATTTTAGAACAAATAAAATGCCTTTATTAAACCCACCCTATATTCTTCAACCGCTGATTCCCCTTTTAAACTCCTGTAAGGAAGTGGCCTCCACTACTACTGATGGCAATTAATTTCATAATTTAATCATCCAATTAGAAAAATAAAACTATCTTGACTGGTACCTATCCATTTTCTCCAAACTTCAAACTTGTGTCCTCTTATAAACACAAAGAAGTCAGAGGCAACTTTTTAATCTTCCCCAGATAATCTTATAAACTTGATAAGACCACCTCTTATTCTCTTTCCCTCCGAGAAATTACATTAATAGATATAAACTTATGACAGACAACCCTTCCATCCTCAGAATAACTTAGTAATCCTTTTCTGATCTCTTTCCAATAAACCAATATCCTTTCTCAGATAATAATGCCAATAATGTCCAAGTAAGGCCTATCCAGTGATTTGTATGGACATAATTACTTTTTTTTTGCAATCAATATCTCTACAAATATACCCTAAGATTCTATTAGCTTTATTATAAGCAACAGAGTACTGATTTAATGGCTTTAATGACTTATCTTCCACTATGCCAACAGCCTTTCTTTAAGTCATGTTAGTAAGTGGGTTTCTATCTATATGTTTTGTTGTAAGATACGTTTTTAATATTCTGACCAAGACATTTTGTACTGTTACACTAGAGGGAATTTTGGCATGATTTAATGATGACATGTGATGTCTAGAAGTTTCCTGAGTGCCTAGATTTGATGTGACATCTCAAATTTTCTTAAGACTTTGTTAAAAAATTGCATAAAAACACCACAGGTGTGGTGAGAGCAAATCAGTGAGTTAGTTAGGCAGTAGGTGAATCTCTTACAATATTATCTTTAGTGTGTGTGTTAATCATCAAGTTTGAATTTGTGATATAGATATGAGGGGAAATTTTACAAGTAACTGTTTAGATATATTTGTAAGTTTAGGTTTATTACTGAGTCAGCTTGTAGAATTTGTTGTAGAAAAAAATTAAATGTTTTCCTTTCATTCACTGGACTAAACTTGGAATTATTTTTACCAAATAATCAAAAAGAACCCATCCAACATTACAATCCGTTACAACAGTATATTAAATGTGAGTCCCAAATTATGATAATCAAAATGTATTATATTCCTTGCACTTACTATAATTAAAGGTCATCTGCTAAGTATTGTTCACTTACCAATCAATCTAAGTCATTATGTAATAACTCAAAATCTTTAATACTCTGAGATACTCAAGAGTTTAACACGCTACAAGCAAACATTATTTTTTATTAATCATGCCCCTATCAATAATATTTATATTTGTTAGATATATACGACTGTTTTAATTTAAGTATAGCACAAGTGTTAAATTTAGTTATTTTTACAAGTGATAGTTTATCACAGGTTTGTTTATATAACTGTGCAAATCATATGCTGTGTAGTTCAATTGTCGTAAATTGGCAATTGTTGTATTATTGCATAATAATACCAGAACCTTATAAAGGTTTCTTGAGTATTATTACATCATAATATCTCATATTGAGTGGAAAGTTCTTGGCTTCAGTTGGGCTATTTATAAACACAAGTCAAAAATGTAGTTCAAGTTAGACAAAGTTAGTGAGAGATATAGCAAAATACACGTAGACTGTGTGTTTATAAGTTTAGCCGTAAAAAGCATATAGCAGTGCTTTTTTTTTTAAGTGACATTATCATAGATTGTATTGTAACAACAGAGAAGAATAATTTGTCTTGTCAACTGTGTTCTAAAGTAATTGAACAAACCATATGTGGACTTTTGATGAAGAGAGACAATTATTTAAAGCTCTAGATACAACTGAGGTAACCAACAGTGTAACGTAAGTGAAATTATCATTGATTGTATTGTAACAACAGAACAGAGAGGAATAATTTGTCTTATCAAATGTGTTCTAAAGTAACTGAACCAACCTGTGTAGATATTGATAAGAAGAAACAATTATTTAAAGCTCTGGATACAACTGTGTAAGGAACATTTGTATATATGTTTGACTTGTTTTTATACATATTATTTTAAAACAAATGGGCTGTGTGCTGTTTGTTTATTGTTGAAATTTATTGCGAAGAAGTCACAGACACCTACTGTAAAGAATCCAGCCCACATATATATAAAATCCTGACAACATTAATAAGAAAATGAAAAGACCCAACACTGAACCCTGACACACACCACTAGTTATCCAGTTTGATTGGCATCCATTACTAATGACTTTTTACTTTCTCTAACCCAAAGGATGGACGTTGCTCAGTAATTAATAGGGAGTGTGCTTGAATTGTGAATCCAAGAGTTCATGGCCCATTACTACAAATACGAGCTCTGAACATTGGGGTTATGGGTATACTATAAGAGTGATGATGAAATCCCACTATTAGGTCAGACAAGAGTAGCGTATGAATTGTTGTTGGGTGCCATTGACTAGCTGCATTCCTTCTATAGTTTGTTAGTTCAAAAATAAGACAGTCAAGACTAGCTAACTCTGAGTATTTTTTCATGTTAATCTTGGAACAAACATTCACCCAGCCAACATACAATTAGTCTTTTCCCAACTCCCATTGAGGTGATTTTCTTAGCTAATCTTCTGTCTTGAACCTTATCAAAATAATTCTGAAAATCTAAGTATACCAAATCCATACCCTTTCCATTACCCAGATAAAATTCTAAAAAAAGAGTCCATATATCAGTAAGGCAATAATTCCCTTTGATGAATCCATTATTAATTTTCATGCACATTTCATGAAATCTCAATGAAGAATGGTGACATTTTATTGGTTTATGTCTGTTCTACAGCTTGGATCTCTAATGATAAACACAATGAAATAAATTCATCATGAAAATCTATTTTTATAAAGCTATAACACTACAATATTTTAGAATGTGGTAGTTTGGGCTCTACATAATGCTAGACAGTAAACAGCAATAGCTTAATACTAGAAATAAACATCCTTGTAACACCAAATTTGTTATTTTTCTTTAATTCACTTTACAACTTCTTCAGTGATTAAGGGTGAAATGAATGTTGGATTCTATGGAATTTAGAAAATCTAAAGAATGAAGGCTATGGTTCCATAGTCCAAACACATTATTGATGTATCCAAGCCATAGATCACGGCCAATGTTAGTATTTTGATGCTACTTGTTATGTGTAATTGTTTCAAAAACATGCATATACATTATGGCATAAAAAATAGCAACTCAATTACCCATTGGAACACCACTTAGTTGGTAATGTACTTTGTTGTCAAAATGAAAATATCCATTGTGAAGGATGAAATGAAAGATTTCTCTGACAGTGCCTATTGTTAGTCTGTACATTTCCAAATTGTTTATGTGATTCGACATAAATTCACACACACTGCATTGATGCCATCTTCTGCTTGTATAAATGGGTAGAGAGCTATGAAGTCCAATGTAAAGAGCAGTGGTGTAGTCGAGACCTCAGTGTCCAAGACCAAGACTTGAGGGTTCAAGACTGAGACTTTAGGGACTGAGATCAAGACAAAGCTCTTGATCTAAATTACACAATGAAAAACAAAGTAAGAAGAATAAAAATCACATGTGTTAAACAAACTTTATTAACATCTTAACAACAAATCCTTTACACGTTAACCCCACAGTCCTGTGAAAAAAGAAAGAATGAATTAAAAAAAATCAAAAAGTCAAGAAATAAAACAAACGAAAAACTGTTGTTTTTTAAAAGTTTATGGTAACAGTGAATTCTTTATGATCTTTGAAGCCAAACACAATCACAGCTGATCTACTAGACATGTTGAATATCAGGGATAGTTGCTAACATTGAACGTAGATACGTTCACCATATGAAGTTCATACAAACGTGTAGTAAGCCTATGCATAATGCAATGTATACTAGCATTTATTTTTGAATAGAGCATATTATAACTACAGATTGATGTACAGGTAATATGCCAGTTGGCAACATAAACAAAAATAAGGGAGGCACCATAAACATCATTGCAAATGTGAAGTACCAACTACCAAGGGGTTTTACTAGTAAAACATGCACTATAAACATCATTGCAAAGGTGTAGTACCAACCAAGGGGTTTTACTGGTAAAACGTGCACTATAAACATCATTGCAAAGGTGTAGTACCAACTACCAAGGAGTTTTACTAGTAAAAAATGTGCTATAAACATCATTATAAAGGTGTAGTACCAACTACCAAGGGGTTTTACTAGTAAAACATACACTATAAACATCATTATAAAGTGTAGTACCAACTACCAAAAGGTATTACTAGTAAAACGTGCACTATAAACATCATTATAAAGGTGTAGTACCAACTACCAAGGGTTTTACTGGTAAAACGTGCACTATAAACATCATTATAAAGGTGTAGTACCAACTACCAAGGGTTTTACTAGTAAAACGTGCACTATAAACATCATTATAAAGATGTAGTACCAACTGCCAAGGGGTTTTACTACTAAAACGTGCACTATAAACATCATTATAAAGGTGTAGTACCAACTACCAAGGGGTTTTACTAGTAAAACATCTTTCATGCTATGCCACGCCTCGTGTGAAATGCTGCATAATCAGTATTTAGCACTTAATAATCCTAGGTAGGTCTAAATACTGGTAAAATTTATGTATTTAGCCAGTCTCATTTTTGAAACCTGTAAAACATTGAGACTCAAATAGTCCAAGACTAAGACCTTACAAAGGGTGGTCTCAAGACCTAAAAAACTGGTAAAGAGTACTATTGTATTTACCACTGTGTGAGATATCCTTAAATACCAAAAGCATATTTTTTCTGTTATTTAAGTATACTGGAACATAATATAGTAACAGCACTAAAATTGTAAGCAGATTTCCAGTGGCACTGCCATATGCTGAGACTATATATGGCTCATTGTGGCATATCCAGTTTATGTTTCTTGGTAAACCATATAATTCTGAAATGTGACTATTAGAGGGTTTAAGTTCATCTAGAAGCTTCTTAGAGATGTTCTTTGTTTTTGTAAGTTCATAAATAATCTCTTTAGTTCTTTTCTCAATTTGTTTAGTGGGGTTATTGTTAAGTATTTGAATCTTATTCCTGTCTTTTAGATGATCAAATATTTTTTGTTTGTAAATGTTTTCGTTCATAACTATTAAAAACTTTACATTTGTCTAATTCTTTGATGATGGGGTTATTATCTTGTTGTGAAGCTTTTTAAGGGCTAATTGTTCTTGGGGATGTAAGTTGGGTACTATTTCTTTGTAAAACTTTCCTGATCTTTTTCCTCACAATATCTTTTTTAGCATGGAGAGATTGTCGCTTGTTGTTATCAAAAGGGTGTTTGTTGTGAATTTGAAAGCTGACTGATTTGTTGCATCTGCAGTTAAACAAATTTAATAAATGGAATTAATGTCTGAATCATTATGGGTATCCAAGGGAGGCACCACTACCCTGGAAATGTATATGAATCTACAAGTTTTTTATTCACTTCACAATTTCACACTACTTATATACTTAATTTTCAATTATAATAAAAGTTGCAAGGTTTGTCAGCAGCTTTATTTAAAATTTCTAGATACCTATCTGTAGCTAAATATTGAAAAACATTATCGCTACCACAGCAAATTTTTGGATATTGGACATGGTAATTTTCAGTCAAGTCATGAAAATGACCAATGCAGTCTTGCCAACATCCCCTCAACCCTAACACAGTGTAATCGGGGTCAAATTTTGCCACCTGCCAGTAATATCATCAGTAGATTATCAAAGAAACTGATGCAGTTTTGCAGACATTCCTGGTTGGGATCAACCTGTTGCCAGTATCATACACAGAGAAATATCAACATCATAAGCACTGAGACAATGTCAGGTAATATGTAATAGGCTTCTTACCAACAAGTCACTTCAGTTTTGGGAGAGACATCATACTAACAAGATGTGGATTTACTTTGTTAAAAGATATCAGGTCATAAGGTAATAAACACTAGAGTTAATTCTGTAAAAAGCATTAAGCTTTTCAAAATTTTGCTTTTTATTACAATTATGTTCAGAGGCATATTTCAAACCTCAAACTACTCAGTGCATTCTTCTTAGAGGGCCCATTTGTACTGATCAGTTATTGAATTTTCAGTTTCAGCATGACTTAAACTAACCTCATAAATATTAAACTTGTCAAATCTGACTGTGAGAGCTTGCCTATTCTCTTGATTCTAATGGCAAAACTTGGAAGGCGATTCCATTGTCCATTGATTTTGACTTTTTAAAGAACTTTTTTGCATGTTTATATGGCTGTCTCATATGAAATTGAAAACAAACCTATGCTAGTACCATTCTTCTCTCACACTACACTGTGGACTCACTGCCCATATGATAGCATATGAATCTATTTTCATCAAATAAATTTACACTTTCCTCACTTACTATATGAATTTGAATGGACAAAAGTTAGCTGCAGATATTTTCTCCCATATTCTTCATAATTTTTCCATTTTGTCTATTGTAGCTGAAAATCAGATGTATAGTAAAAAAAAAAAAAATAGCATTTCATAAACTGCAGATGTTTTCCCATTTTTCTTAATTTGTCCATTGTGGTTTGAAATCAGAGTTGAGTACAAAATAACATTTCAGATCAATTTCTTTGCCTCCCACAAGTCAATACCCAATAATTATTTTATTTAATACAAGAACTTATCAGTTGGGCCAGATGATGAAAGACAAAAGATTTTATGACACACTTTATATAATGCAGTATACTTTAAAAGTCAAGGTTAAATGCCAAAAGTCAGTCAACTATTGGAAAATTAATAGGCCTAAAAAATGTTTAAAAAACATTAACAGCAGATGTTTATTTCCACGTTCCTCATAATTTCTCCATTGCAGTGCGAGATGTTTGGAATCAATAGTTCATGATTTCGAGCCATAATGTACAAATTAAGATGAATGTGGAAAAAAGAACATCTGCAATTAACTTGTTTGTAAAACAATTTTTAGGCCTATTGGTTTCCAATATTTGCCAGCTTTCAGTTTTTAAATCATAGTATTTAAAAAATAAATCAGTACACCTCACAATACATGTTAGTTGTTAGGGTGCATTGTAGCACAGTATACTGAAAACTGAATGGACGAGTGCATAACATAGATGTGGACCAGTAACACTGAAAAATTACTTTTAGACACTCTATATAGAATGTATACAACAGTTTGTGCAAAATTGATTTAAAAAACACAAAATCCTAATTTAAAAACTAATTGAAAATTTTTTATAGTACAAATTTAGAGTTTTAATAATTTCTAAATAGTTTCACACTAACACTATATTTAATGAGTTTTAAAATTTTCAAATCTTACCTTGATTTTATTTTCTATATTAATCAACCAACCATCAAACTCATGATCTCGTGCTATTGAGACTAAAGATGTAACCAACAGAGACAAAGTATTTTGAGACTCAAGGATCTCATCACACAACTTTATTCCATCTTCATGTTCAGTTATAACTGTTCCTGCAAAAAGCATTAAAGTAATTCTAAGAGATACTATATATCAGTTGGAGTTTGGTTTCACACAGTGTTTGGTGATCTAATCAGCAGTTGAATATATGAACATTACACATGAACTTTGTATTCTTTAGTTCAATCAGTCAGTCTTAATAAGGCAGCAACAAAGAAATCAAAATTCATAAATAATTCACAATTCCTTCAAATGAAGTGAATTCTTTAAATGGGGGAGAAAAAGTATGTAATCTTCAACACTGGTGCAGACATACCAAAAACTAGGTTTTATCAAAGAAAAAATAACATAAAAGAAAATATGTGTAAGGGAACAAGTAACTGAAGCTAAGCACCAATATGAAACAAAAAACAGAATTAGTTAAAATTAACTATTCAAATGATAAAAAAAGAAAAGTAATCCTCCTGCTGAAAAATAAGAAATAGGAATAAAATAGCCATTAGCATGAACAAAAGAAACAGTACTCACCCACACACAGAAAGCACAAGTATGAAGACATGAAGTACTAATAAAATGAAACAAGCAGAAGACAACTTTTGAAGTCTAAGGAAGCTGCAAACATTACAAAAATACACAGTAGAATTTCAAATTCTGAAATCAAACCAGTCAAGTGGTCAAAGTGAAAGACCAATCAGAAGATTAAGAGAAGATGCACAAAGTATGGAAGGTTATATATTAGAATAAAAACTTATGGTTGATAAAAAGAAATAGCAGCCATAAACTGAGTGTAAAATATAAAACTAAAAAAAACCTAATGAAGACAAAAACTGAAGTAGTGGAAGGGGAAACATTCCAAGAAGAAATTATTATGTGATCCCAAATAAGAGAATCAACAAGTTGATGTTTTAAGTAAAATCATGCCAAATAAACCAGTAGCTAAAATGTATGTATAGTGCAGAATAATGAAGGATTTCAGCACTGTCAGATGAAGGAGCAAAGTCAGAAATGCAGAGCTTCACACCATATGAAGCAAACAGGAATAAACAAGGAACTAGCAGAAAGAACATTCTCTGAAGATTACTAACTCTTTCTCAATGGATGAAAATAGCAAGAAAAAAAGTGAGTATAAACTTCAATGGATCAAAGACTTGTTAAAAAGAAAAGAAAAAAAGTGATGGGTACTTTTCCAGGAAGAGAGTTGTTAGTTGGCTTTTTACTTGAAAATAAATGTATGTAGGGAGAAAAAAAAAGGTGAAAGAATGGTCACAATAAGTTGACAGAAAAACTAGTATGCAGAGTATGAATCCTCTGATTCACCACAGAAATTAAAGAACATCAAGAACAAAGAGAGACAGTGGAGTCAGCAGTTGTAAAGAATACATATGTATGTAGATCTCCTTGCTAGAAGAACATCACAGGATTTGAAAGGTAAATGAGGCTGTGACATGAGAACCAAAATTCATAAAGAATGCAAAAATTACCCAAAATGTAGCTGAAGGAAGAAAATAAAATAGATTTTTGAAACAAAGAAAAAACAGAAAAGTATGTTATCTTCAAGACTTACGAAGACACACAAAAAACTGTACTTTAGTGAAAAAAGAAAAACCTCACAAAAATCAACACAAAAGAAAATTTTATGTATAAGGGAACAAATAACTGAAATGAAACACCAATAAGAAACAAAAATACAGCTGTTTAAAATAAACTTTTCAAATGAGAAAAAAAATTAAAAGAGCCTTTTGCAATAGAAACTACACAGCAGGGATATTATCAAGACCTACAAAAGTTAGATAGAACATAACTGGACATGGCAATGTGGGCTGTAATGATGTGAAAAGATTCAAAAATCATTTTAATGTAACATACTCAACCTCTTATACTATTGAAATGAAATGTACATATCAGCTCATATTTTGCCTCAAATGAAAGTTTGAGACTCAAAAAACAGTTAATCCTTCCAGAAAAAACGAAAAGGTACAACCAATGTAAAGATATCTAAGTGACATCATATAATAAAGAAAATAACTGTCAAAGAATGTAATCTGATAAGTAACTATACCTTCAAAATGATCTTCAGAAAGAACCATACATACAAAATCAATAGCCAGAGAACATAAGAATGAAGTCTACAAAGTAGAACAAACCCTGTGTTTAACAAGAGTAGTAAAATGTGTGTCGAGAACAAAAATATAAGAAAGTGTGCTTGCAAGTGCTGCATACTAATCCTTGTTGTAAAAAAGCAGTAAGCCCAACATAATGACAGACAAAGAATGAAGTCAACCTAACAGCTATGTAGGAATGACATGAAATGACTCTTACATAGTGTAATAAAACTACTTAGATGATGTTTACATCAGTTATGTACTGAGAGAAGCTTGGAGACTGAAATGAAAACTGGAGTAAATAGTTGAAGAAGATGAGACAATGAGAGAGATATGATGATTTTAACTTTAGTTCTGAAAAGGTTAGGATAGTCTGCAGGATCAATTTCATCCAATCCTAAAAAACAGTGTATTCCCATCCTTGAAAGTTACAAGTTATCTGTTAGTTGTTCTCAGCCTACTACTGTGATTGGTATGGTGTTAACCTCTTGAAGAAGTTACAAAATGAAGCAATAAAGTTTTTCACTGAAAAAAGAAGAGAGTTTTCTCCCTTTTCTATAAGGCATATATTAGTCAATATAAAAATAAAACAAAGAGGTTCAGAAAAAAATAATTAACATAATAATACATCATAACTGAGTCAGAAAAGCTATCAATATTCTTTTGGTCATCCACAGGAAAAAGAACCTTTGATGAAAAAAAAACAAGAGCCACTTCCTTTTCCAAAACAATAAGATCACAAAGATGATGGGAGATGTTAACGTTTCCCTAAATGGAAAATGTATTTCCAACAATACTGACCTCCCTCTCACACTCGACCACCAGGGTTTCTCCCTTCCTTCAGTTTTTTATACCCCACTTAATTGCCCTTGACCATATTTATATCCTGATACTCTCCACCTACATGAATGCACCCTCTAACCAGGTACTGTATATAAGCACCTCATTCACATAATGTTATCACTTTTTCAAGAATGACTTAATCCCAGTCTCTAACATTGGAAGGAAGAAGGGCAGGAGAGTGTCAATGGAGGTAAGTATTATTAGAAATACATTTTCAAATTAGGAAAAATGTTAACTTCCAAAACATACATCCCTCTGCTCCCACTTATAGCTAAAATCCCACATTGATAAGGTGGAGAGGCCAGTGAGGGCATTATCCATACAGAAAGTGCCTGCATAGGTCATGGTGTGTCAATAGAAAATTGGCACCCTAATGGGGGAACTGCACTACACCCAGAACTGAATTCCTGCATCGCAGGTGGAATTGTACATGAGTGAGCATCACTATATGCCAGCCACAACCAGACAGCCAAGGTTCCACTACTCGGGGTTGGAATTAAAGGGTCTTGCTCCCTATGTCCCACATTGTTAAATAGGGCAATTGGACAGCAATGTTATAAGTATGTATACTTATAAGTGGATCCCAATTTGTAGCCATAGAGTTATACATTCCAAGCCACCAGAATCACAATGAGAAGGTAATTAGCACTGAAGTGGACAAACCTTCTCTTCAACCTGAAGAAGTCTGAAATTCAACTCCCTGGGCTCAGAATGATGAAATTGTGTATGTCTTACTCAACCCAAGGAAGCTGAACTCATCTAGTCTGGAATTATGAACATTCCTCCTCACTTCCCAACCATGTAAGCAAGGTACATTCCACTTGCCCCTGGAGTTATGGGGAAGACATGGAACAACTGTGGTCAACCAAGGACCCAGGATGTGACCACTCCATGTTCAGAATTATGAGGAGATAGTGGACCCCCTTCCATGAACAATGTACTGAATCTATATTGATGAAAAATAAGGGACATGCACACCCCAACAGAATAGCCAAACATCAAATCTGAACCAGTATTACAAGTAGACTCCCACGTAGGCTGGTACCACTCCTACCAACATCTGGGAAAACATCCAGGGAGCCGGGTAGGTCAACCCCCAACTTCACCCTTATGACCTTGTTCCACCAGTAGAATCTGGGGGATAATGCACATTGGGAAGTCCTGAGGAAAAGGGCTCTGGAAACAGTGCAACAGGTGAACCAGGTTCCCTAAATTTTTAAAAGCAAACTGACCTTGGGACAAGGGGGTAGAAGAGGAACACCCACCTTTGTGTTATGTCTATGTAGCCACCAAGTGAAATCATCCAGGAAGGAGGGAACTCAATAATGCAGTCCAAGGAATCCCTAGCAAGGTTCCATTAATCATGCAGCATCCATTGAAGGGTGCACATGAGAGCATGACCTAAGGGTATCAGTGCTTCCCTGGAAGCCCACATCCCCAAAAGTGAAAGCACCTTGCATGTAGTGAGAGTAGGTAAGGGCCTTGGTGATCAAAAGCTCCATACACCATACATGAAGGGGAAAAAATTGGGCTAGATTGAGGTAGGAGTTTAAAAGTACTCCCAGTGGATGAGATATTGTGTAGGTACAAGAAATGACTTCTCGACCTTGATGATCCAACCAACAGAAAATGCTTCTCTCAGAAGCAACTGTGTGTGTTTGTGTGCTACCCGATCTGATGGAGCCAGTAGGAGCCAATCATCCATACAATTATGGAAGTACAAGCATTGAGCAATGTTCCCTCTAATTTTTTTTCAATCAATGTGCAGAATGAATTTTTTTCATGAGCACCAGTATCAAGGCAATGTGCAGATGTGCACTAGCAGTTTTATCTAGGGGCAGGTTTATTTTTAGGCCATGAGCACCAGTAGCAAGGCAATGTGCAGATGTGCACTAGCAGTTTTATCTAGGGGCAGGTTTATTTTTAGGCCATCGACCCCATTGGATCATTAGGCCAATTTGCAATGCTACCAGTTGGTTATTTGGGCTTTAGGTCTATCAAATGCCAGAGTCATTAAGGCTGTCAACGTGTTGAGACTCCTCACCACTACTGAGGATGTTTGCGGCTGGAATAATGAAGTGCACAGCCCTTTATTGGTTGTAGTGTGGCCATACAGCCACGCAGCTTAGAGGGAACACTGCCCACAAATATGGAGTAGTCGAGCAATTGCCCTGAAAACTTGACAAAACACATAAGGTGCAGTGGCCAGCCTAAAGGGCAATGCACAAAACTGGTAAACCTGTCCCCTGTAAACAGACTAAAGATACTTCCTGGATTGCAGAGCAATGCAGGTGTGGAGGTAAGCATCCAAGACATCGACATTGGTCATCTACAGACCCAGAGTGACTGCCCACCATAGAATGAGAAAAGATTCCATGGTAGAATGGAGAAGATTTATGAAATGGTTGAGGCGAAACAGATCTATTACTGGATACCAGTTCCTGGTCTTTTAGGAAAGTACAAACAACCTGCAGTAAAAAGCTGGAAAGATTTGACTGACTGACTCTATAGTGCATTGGAGTAGAAAAGTCTGGACCACTTCAGAGAGACACTGGCAAGTTGTGGGATCCTGAGAGGATGGAAAGGACACTGGAATTGGTGACAATGGAGGGGGGAAGGAAGTGGATAAAGAATCTTTCAGACAGTGCCTGAACAACCCAAGGATTGGAAGTGAACTTCCATCATAGGTGAACAAATTGGGACAGACAGGCATCTACTCTGCCAGAACTCACCGGGTAGTCACCAGTACCATTGGCAGTGTATGTTCCTGCAGTAATATTTGAGCTGGAGGGAAAACAGGTATTCTGATGAAGGTATCATACATTAAAAAAAAAAAAAAAAAAAAAAGTGCAGGGTCATAAGAGATGGGAACAAAGACAAAACATAGCATACCTGTGAAATCATGTCCAAAAAGGTTGAAGGAGGCCTGGCAGCACCCATAGGTGACACATGGGATTGCACAGCATAGTATGGGAGAGAAAAAAGGCTCTCTAAATCCTCATCCACAAGTCCAGGTTCTTCCAAAAATGGAAGATCTTGTCCAGGTTCAGGAGAAGCTGGTTGTCTCAAGTAGTGTTCAAGCTATCATTGAACTAAGGCCGAGACACCCTCAGCTAGAAGTGTTGAACCCAAAACCTGAGAAATGACACTTGAAGTAATAGTAGATGTGATATAAAATTCCAAATTTGTGGTTCATCAAAGATCAACTCACCAAATTAAATAATAAAGAGAGTAAAAACAAACAAACAACAGAGTTAAGTTTACTTTAATACAAGTTGTAATTGAAATGTTGAACTATTTCAAATTACTACTTCAAGAAAAAATGCAAAAAATTAAGGAAGTGCAAATGTGAAAAAAAACCGAGTGAAGTTCAAAAATGTCTGAACATGTCAGTGTCTAAACAAAAAGTGAAGGTTAGGCTGAATAATGTAGAGGGAGTAACCTGCACCAGGAGAGTGTGTCACAGTCATATTGGTGGAGGGTTACTGCAGATTATTTGGATATGAAAATGAAGTAGAACCATGTTAAATATAGGATAGGTGGAAGTTTCAAGGCTAAATTTGTGTATAGTGAGGGCAGCACTGAAAGAGAGAAGCAATCAGCTGTTTCTATCTTTTACTATTTTCTGAGAAACATTTGTTGTTGTTTTTATTTGCATTTTGGTGAAGTATTGAAAGAAACCTCAAACATCTGTCATGGAATTCCTAGAAACAGCATTGCATTATATACATTCAATAATGAGAGACAGCTAGCCACCTAAAAGCTGTGATTTGATTATATTTCTTTAATAATAATTTTTAGTTTCACTTTTTATTGAATAATGTGCCACTCGTACTTAGAGATACCTGATACTTAAATTGACAAGCTATAATAGTGCTTAGCTATTTGTTGCATATAAGCTGGTGCAAACCAATATGATGCAATTCACACCCAAAAGTACTGTGAAAATCCTTCAACTGCATCATCAATGGGCTTTAATAAATCTGATAAAAAAAATGTTTGAGGCACTGTTACTGCACCGAACAACAGGGCCATATTTGTTGGAAATGATAAGTATTCATGATCATGAACAATACAGCTTTTAGTAGTGACCGAAGTTTATGAAGCTTCTAAAATATAAGCTTTTGGTGCCACAAATCATTTCAAGCCCCGAGGTAAAGGATGATAAACACAGGTTGAGTAGGATATATTAAAATGATTTTGGAGCCTCACCGTGTCATTATGGTCCATGTTGTCATGTCTAGTTATGCTCAACCTGACCATGCATTTTGACAATGGCATTGCAGCATAGCTTCCACTGCAAAAGTCTCCACTACTCCCTTCACACTTCCCATAAACCATTTAGTGTATGAGGTCAATAATTTCCTAGTGCCTGTTACAGCAGTCTGATCCCACAGAAATCCATGGGTGCTGTGTGTAGTGACTTGAATTGTATGTCTTTGTATGAAATAGCATGAATATCCATTTCATTCTCCAGCTGCTTGAAGTTTGCAACAGTTGAACAAATATATTTTGGAAGCAACTTGTGTACTCGTGTCTTGTGACACTTTTCTAGATGGAGATCCTTCTGAATTATGTTGCACACTGTTGCCTAGGATGTGTGGATTGTTTTTGCCACTGACATTTGTGTTCATGGATTGTCCCCTGTTACAAGATGCTAAACTTGTTGCATGTCCCTTTCTTGATGACCCCGGTTCCCCAAGTTGATTCATATTCCTTTGTTTTCCAGTGTCACTTAATGCAAGGAATATCCCCATCTTGGAAATTCTAAATCTTTGATCTGAAACACCTTTATGATATGAGTATATGAATACTTTGTTTTGGAAAGAACTGTTACATACCCTTCCCAAAAGCAATACATTTTTAATGACATTATACTACTTATAAAATGTCAAACAGTGTCAAACTATAGTTATGGTAAATGTTGTTACACTGCAATTCTATATGAGCTGTTGTTATCATGTGACTTGCTAATTTACATATTCAATATTTTTTGATATAATGTACCTAGCCCTCTTTCTGAAAAAAGTAATTTTGCTTGTTATTATTACAATATTTAGAACAAGTCCAAATAGAAAATATATAAATACATTAAGTCTGTGGTTATACAACTGTATATGATTTTTCTTATCACTTTTGTCCTTCTGGAAGACTAGAACTAAGAAAAAGTCCCATGATCTAAGTGTGAAATAAAACAGTTAGGAAAACTGATAAAACCACATTCATTCCGTATCACTGGTCCTTAAGTAAGTAATTACCAAGTTAAGAAAATCATTTAGATAACATATATGATTTTTAAACTACACAAAAAGCAAAAATGTACTTGTTTTAGAATATTAAATAAAAACAGTGAATTTACATGATCAGGACAAAAATGTTAATTCAACTTACCAAGAACAGAAACTCCATTATTGTGACAAACAGTGATCCATGATAATGGAGGAATTGTAACGAAATGGTGACTAAAGTACACAAATATATCCACGGATGCCCAATGGAAGAACCTGTAGCAGTCATCACTTTCTGATCCTTCACAAAATCTGTTGAACATAAGAGTCAATATAATATAATTTATAAAAGTCAGATATACATTAAAAACAGAATAGCATTCACCATTATTTGTTCTCATAAGATACTGTTTCATACTGACTCACTATACACATTTTTGCACAATCTCTACGTATGTTAACCATTAAACCAACACTCTTCTTTGCTTCTGCTTACAGAATTTGATTTGATTTTATGAGAATAGTTGAAGATAAGAATCTTTATAGCATAAGCTTTCTCCCAAAGTAACAAAAGTTAGAAATTTACTTGATTTTATGACTATTTAACATAATGCATTAAATAATATAATTTCTTATCCATATAAATTGTGTTGCATAAGAAAATATAACAGACCGACAGCAAGCTCAATATTCTAAATTAATGTTGTCAGAATCAATGTTTAGGGCCTAAAACTTCATGAATCGTTGTACATGACAAGAAACTTAAGTTAAAATCCTTTAATTATTTTATCTTTCTTCCAGATTTTTAACAACATTGTTTGAAAGACAACTAGTATATATTTGAGCATATAGATGAAAACTGACAATCTGCCTACAAACTTAGTTATACTACAAGTACTTCTTTTAATCCAATAACATAATAGGTACAAGTACATTTTGAGGATTGAAATGTTGTTTAATCCACAGTTCGTCAGCCAGATCATTTACTTCAATTAATTTTTACATTTTATGTATAAAACATTGATGAAAAATATTTATAAAATAATACACTTTAAATGTTTGTAATTAAATTAATTTTAATGTAAAAAGTCAAAGGAATACAAGACACAAGCCATAAAATAATAAGTGATGAAATACACACAACAATAATTTTTATGCAGTAAAGAAACGCATTTCTTTGTATCACTTTTGAAAAGCATACGTCTTAAAATTGTCTCGAAGTACTGGCAGTGACACACCCTCCCAGTGCATCTGACTTCCTCTGTAGTGTAAATCACTCACATTACTTCAAGATTAGGCAAAAAAGATGCAGTGGAAGTGGGAAAGATGGATGTGAAGTGTAAGTGAAGGTAAATACATTTTGAGTGTAGGAAAATGTAAACTTCTGATATTATATGAACAGTGGTAAATTATTGTATCTAAAAAAAAGCACATCCAACCTGTAATTGGACATGCTAGCTGGTGTGGAGTAGCTAGGACATGTCAGACCATTTTCAGTGGGTCAACTCCCATCCAAAACCAGGTGGCATCAGGTATTTGTCTTTCCATCTGCATTAAGAGGAGGGTCCCAACCATCTTCACCTCAAAACTAGGAAGCAGAAGGGAAAATCAACTTCCATTCCAACAACCTAGCCAGGGCACGTGTGTGTATATACCCAGTATGCAATAAACACCAGACCACCTGGGAACCTGACATCTAGGTATCAGTAGAAAGGGGGTAATGTAAATGTGGTGGTCAACTCCAATCCTAAACAATGTAGTGTTGGGAATTTTTTGTCCACTTCATTGTAGAAGGAGGGCCACTACCAACCACATGTGTGAGGACTTATATTGGCTGGACCTATGCTGATTTAACACCAGAGTGCCCAGGAACCAACTTCCAGACAGAAGTACAATGGGGGAACATTAGTGCTGGGGTGAACTGCATGTGGTAGATTTGTCCAGTCCAAAACCAGGCAGTATCAGGAATTTGTCTTCTGGTCCTCAGTAAGAGAAGAGTTCTCCCAATCTACACAAACAGAACACCACTGCCCTATTCTTGATTGATTGAAATTGGGCACACTCAGAAGAAAGCCACTTCAATGGTCCACCACCCCAGTGGCTAGGAACTGATAAATGGCAAAGACTCCTGTACTCCAATGGAAGAGGGAGGAACAATGCAGTCGGGGTCCTGAGGAAAGCAGAAACGGAAGTCAGATGACCACAAAAACCCTATTTTTAAAAGCAGGTTAGTTCTAGTTTAATTCAACTAGAACCTGAGGGATGGGCAGCAATCCCAACATTGCTTTACTTGTGATAGTCCATGAGTTGCTGCAGCCTTAATGAAGCAAGATACTGCAAGGAAACCTCTAACAGTTTTATGAAACACCCCATCTCTTCAGTAAGTATTATAGACCTGTATGGCCATATGGTGTAGGTCTAAAGTTAAGTATACCTGACCAGATACCACTCACCACCGTGCAGGATCCAGGGTTATATAAAGGGGCCACCATAAAGGTAAGAGATAAAAAAGTAAAAACGTAACCTGTCAGAGTCTATATGTGGTATGGAGAATTTGAACAGGCAGTAAATGATAGCCAGATGAGAAAGTGATGACCAAATGATGTAGGTAGTGAGTGAATAAGTGTGAGGTATTGTCCACATGCCAGCCTGCACTATCTCCTTTAAAGGATGATGGAAGTGAGCAGCCAGGGCAATGGTGAGATGATGAATCTGGTGAAAGGAAACTTAGATGATGCAACAAGAATTGTTGGAAAATGACACATAAGCCAGACGATTAACTTTACAAAGCCATCACAAGTAGAGGAGGAGTTCCACGGGATAAAAAGGTGAGAACTGGAGCCATGAAAAGAAGCTATGTGGGCAACATAACAACAACAAGCCTATACAGAACACAGATGATGATCAGAATGGGAATATATATGAGAAATAGACAGAAAGGAAATAGGTGTGAATGTGCTGTACCCTTCACATTCTGCCAATGTTTTGGGAAAAACTATGATCAGGATAAAGAAGGACATACAAATGATAACAAATGCAGAAAATATCAATAGCAAAGATTTCTGACCTACAACATCCACAAGCAAGGAAGAGTAAAAAATAAGTCTAAAGGGAGAGATCACACAAAGAGCAAGAGGCTGAAGGCTCAAAAGGGGGAAGGGTAAGGACATGAAAGATAACACTGAGGTTTCACTCTGGTAGGGCAACTGGATGGAGAAGACAAAGCAGGCAAAAAGAACAAATAGGAAAGAAATGACAGGAGAGGAAACTATATGGAAGAAATGGGAACAATGAAAAGTATTGGATAACACCATCCTATACCCAGCAGTGGTAGAAACAGAAAAACCACTGTCAAAAAGCCGAGTAAATAAATCAGAAATGTGAAAAAGTTGGTTAGGAAGGTTAGAAGCTGACATGCAAAGACCAGTGATAGAAAATGTACCATTTACACTGGTCAACTAGATTGAAAGAAGAGTGGACAGAATGAAAAAGGAAGGAAGGCTACTCACATGGAAAGTCCAGAGTGACTTGCAAGGGACTGGACAAAACCCATAGAGTGTAGCTATGGTGGGATAGAAAATAGTGGAGGGAGGTTGCCACAGAATGCATCAGGAAAGAGGTACAGGAGGAGATGACTGAAGGAGGTTCAAGAGTAGAATTTACAGTTGTGCAGGCCAGAAGAGAGTGATGAGAAGGACTCAACATAGAGTGGTTTGAATAAGAGAGAATGTGGAGAATAAGCATACATGTAGAGATTAGACTAATCCTGATTGAACACATCCACAAAGAATGCATAATCAGAGACCAGAAGAAGGGACGTTTGGTATTGATCTGGGTGGCAAAGGCATCCAGAAAGGGGGGTACCCAGTTGGGAGCATAACCACTGGAACACTTGAGGAGCAAGAGACTACTTCATCAGTAGATCTTGTTAAGACAGGAGAACTGACATGCCAAAATATTCAGAATACCCAGGATGTGACAAGCAAGAAGACTGCCTTACAGAGATTGGGCCCAGAAAAGAAGATCCAGTGTTGAAAACAAAGACCGGGTGCCACCTTGATGATTAATGTAAGAGACAACTGTTGAATTGTCAGAATGAATCATGACCAAATATCCATGTTCTACAGACAGAAAATGATCCAACAACCAAAGAACAGTCAGGAGCACCAATAGGTTGATATGTTGGGCAGATTCAACCTCCAACCAATAACCAGCTATCTCCTGAGAATACAAATATGCCCCATCCCATGAGAGAATAATCTGTAAAGAAATGAAGATTGAGATGGGGAGGAGGAAGAGGAACACCAACCTAGTTGTTATCTCTGTTGATCCACCAGGCAATGTTGACTTGGAGTGTGGAAGGAAAAGAAATGGAGAAGTCCAAGGGATCCCAATAAAGGTCCCATTGATCGTACAACACCTACTAAAGGCACAAGTGAGCATGACACCAAGGAACAAGAGATTCCAAAGTAGCCCAGGTCTCCAAAAGAGAAGTATTGGCTTTGGAAACCAAGTGCTCCACATCCCTCAAATGTAAAGGAGAAGGCTAAAATCTGCTGAGATACATGCTGAAAAACCCCCAGATTAGTAATATACTAGGTGGGGGTGAGATGGGACTTCACCAGTTTGATAAGCTACCCCAAATGAGGCAGCTCCTGAAGGAGAAAATGGGTATGGTTGTGAGAGGCCTGTGGGGTACAAGCCAAAAGAAATCAGTCGTCCATGTAATGGCAAAATCACAGTGCCAGGTCGTGAATATGAAGAGCAAAGGTTCTGATTACGCAACAGAAAACATAGAGCCAATGTCAGATCATATGGAAGAGCACAGAACTGAAACACCATACGTCCATGAACAAACCAAAGGTATCAATGGGATGCAAGAGAAATAGGGATATAAAAGTAAGCATCAGAAATTTCGACCTTGGTCATCCAAAGATCTGGAGTAAAAGACCATATGAGAGTGAGAAAATACTCCATTGTAAAATGTGAGAGGTTTATCTGATAAGCTTCCACATTCACTATTGTATCCTTGCCTAAAGATTATTTGACAGAACTAAAAATAATAAAACAAACTACTTTCTGTTTATTTGTTTGTTGTTAAACACAAAGCTACACAATGGGCTATTTGTGCTTTGCCCACCAAGACGATAGAAACCCAATTTTTAGCATCATAAGTCTTAATGCTGAGCCACTGGAGGGGCAAATTGCTGTCAATAATAGTTATTTAACCAAGTTAATTGATACATTGTTCAAAAAATAAAAGGATATTAACATAAAAATGATCATAAAAAACAGAAAGAAATGGTATAAGT